TAAAAGTTTAAAAATTACAAATAAAATATAAGATAACGTGGGACGATGACAGCCGTTGATCTTCAGCTCCTCGGATAGCCATGGACGGTTGGATGTCCGCATCATTCTCCCGGGGTGAAAAAGAGCTCGACTCCGTCGAGTCCGCACCCCAGGTAACCATGAACTGATGTAGAAAGGAAACAGAGGCTTTGCTAATGAATGGATAACTACAGGAATTTTTCTGACTGCAGGCTTAGGAGAGCAGGAGAATCCATGATTTGTGGAGTTTTGGAGAGGTTTAGTGTAGGAAATCCAGTGGGAAGACCTTGGAGAATTTTAGCCAGTAGGGGGAGACAGGAAAGGTAAAGGGGCTGCGGGATCCAAGGGGAAAGTAGGGGGAAATTAAATTCCTAAGCTGTTACGTGAAGAAGTTCACGTAATTGGGCTTTGATTGTTTCGGCCAACAGCAGCAGCAATTAAGGGCTTGATCTTTGAAATTCACAGCTGGTAGGAAGGAGGCAATATCTTCCAAAGAAAGGTGAGAGGGAATTTCAAATAAAAAATGAGTTTGGCAAGATTTAATGATGGGATGCTTAGGCAACAGATCTTGGAATGTGAGGGTGACGTGAATATGGGGGAGGATTTATTTCCAAAGCTAATTTCAGGTTTTGAACAATTTCGGTTAGGAGGAGATTTAGGGGTTTTGAAATATTTCCCAAAGAGAGACTTGACTTAAGGAAATAAATCTAAATCCAAGACAATGAAGGGGCCGGCGACATTAATGGACAAGAGGGAATTTGGGGGTGAGGTGTCATGCTTGCATAAATGTAAATTTAGGATTAGGAAAGTAATTAACCAAATCCAATTGAATTTGAAATTCAAAAGAATTGATGTAAGAACTTTCCAAAATAGAATGACAAAATTAGGAAAGAATCCAAATTTCAAATTAGTGGAATTTGAATTTTTGAAAACTGTCCAAAATTAAATCACTCAAGTAAATTTAAATTACATCATGAATGAGATTCAATAATTTCCTAAAATAGCGTTCTAATTTAGGAAATTAATTGAAATTCAAAATTTGAATTTCAATGGATGAAAATAATTTCCTAAATTATTTGAACTCTTTAGGTAAGTTTTAAGATGCATTGACTCCTCATTCATGGAGACAAACAAGGGTGGCTGGCGGTGGAGGAGCTAATGGGGAAAGGTGGCCGGCGGCTATGGGGAAAAATTTGTGGAATTTCGGGTGGAGGTGAATCCGGCGGCCAAACGAAGATGGGGAGGAGGAAGAAGATGACTACGAGGACAAATACGATGAGGAATACAAAGACGGAACAAAGAAAACAAAACCCAATGATAGAAGATAAAACGAAAGAGAGAAAATAAGAACTGCGAGCCTCGGACTCTTCCGACGACTGACGGGTGATGCTTTGCCCTTCTCCAAGGGACTTCAATTCACGAGCCCGGACCCATCCTGCGGCTGGTGAAGACTTCGACTCCTCTCATAGGAATCTCACTAACGCTCTCTCACAAGAAGAACACAAGTGTGGAAAATAATTTTTCATATCAATTAACCATTCTCTTACAATAGCTTAAGACCCTTATTTATAGGTCACAACATGAGAAAGAAAACAAAAAATTACAAAATTGCCCCTTGGGTCACAACACTCAAATAAACTAACCTGGGGGTAAAATAGGAAATAACATAAAATAAAAGCTAAAATTCATAAAATAACTCTTAAATGACAATTTAAATTATAGCCGTCGATTTACGACGCCTCCTGTGATAGATGCGCCAAATCTTCGTGCCGATGTCCGCATCATTGAATCTTCAATGTCCTACGTATTTGTTGTTTGGTCTAAATTGAAAGGGCCTCACAATGCCTTATCTTGTTTGTTTTAGTTTCATTTTGATATTATAGGCCATCATAAAATGGCAAAATTGATTATTGAGAAGTTTTTTCCCCCTTATTGTCAAGCTAAAACTGGAGAAAGTTTCTGTTGGAGACTTAATGCAAATATTTGGTAACATGTTTGAAATGTATGCATCAGTTATGCAAAATTTTCATCATTTATACACAATCAAATGTGTATTATGAGTTAAGGTTGTAAGGATTACATTATTAAGTCTCATTAATAGAATATCTAGTCTAATTTTTACCAAGTTATGGTTATGTGAATGAATTGAATTAATGGTACGAAATACTCTACATTGATCACAGTTAGCAGTAGTTGTGTACCTTTTCCATAAGTTAAACGAAATACCCTTTAGAAATAAAGGCAAGGGGAGTGGTGGGGATAACTTCCAAAGAGCATTCTCTCCTTTCGTGTCATAGCCATTGCCACTTTATTTGACTGCCTTTTTATTTTGAATCTCGGCATTTATTATTGGAACTTTACTTTTTTTGCAATCTGTACTTAATGGTATCTTTTCATAACTTGTGCGAGGCCACTTACAGAGGAATTGGTTACTGTAGTTGTAAAGAAAAATCTGTATAAAATCATTTATCTGTTCGCTGCTTCATTGAAGCATGGAAACATTGACATGCAGCGGTAGTTCAATTATAAATTATTAGTATTTTGTTTTTGATTTCAATATTATAACCACTACTTTTTAGTGCTCTTTTCAAATGATATTTTTAACCTTGATTTCTTCTTTATTTCTATATATTTACATTCTTTTCTGCTGATCCAAAATAGCTGGAAAAATGCTAATGATTTACATTCTTTTTTCTATTCTTGTAATGCAAACACAGGAACTGATGGAGAAACTTAAGATGCCTTCAGATGCCGAGTTGATGAAAATAGCTATCAATGATCTGAATAATTCTTCTATCTCATTAGAGGATCGACAACGTGCATTGAATGAACTTTTGATTCTTGTTGAGCCTATTGATAATGCAAATGGTAAAGGTGCTACTGAAACACATCAAAGAAGTTTGAGGATGTACTCTTCAATTTTTTTTTGTTTTGTTTTTTATGTTGATCGTGGTGTTCATTAGGTGGTGGGTGTTACTACTTGCTTTGTTTTGTGCAAGGTTCCTACTAGGTTCAATTCAAGTTGGACATGCGATTTCTTACAACTAATTTTTGGTTTTTATGTTTTACTAATTTGTGAAGTCCTCTGGATTTACTCTTGTTTATTGCTGTTCATTATCTTTAGCATTAATATAAGAATAGATTGCCTTGATATTCTAACTGTATTATACTAAGCTATTAGTGGATTCACACTATTTCATTTCTTTAGACTGGTATATCTTCCTGTGAGTTAGACTTCCATGACTTATTTAATGTGGTAAGCTATCGGAAAGTTGAGCACTGTGATTTGTAGGTGCGTTAATCTGGTTTGATGCAGAAATTTGGCTAGGGCTTGCACTATTACCAAGAACTGCTATAAGTGGCCTTTGCATATGCTTTCTGTGGTTTAATATCGACATCGTGAGTTTGTATATTTTTTAAATCTTGAAGTTGCTTATGGCCCCATGTTGTCTTTTCCTTTTTCTTTGGCAACTACTATGTTCATTTAGGAACTCTGAATTACTGGGAAATCCAAAATATTCCTGCAAGTTCTTTGGCTACGGAGAATTTATTTATTTTTCTTATAATTAATTCACATATGTGGCTTTGTGTGTACGATGTGGAGTAATAAGCTATGAACACCTATCATCTATAGCAATTTTTTTTATTTTCAAAGAGAAATAATGCTGCAATCTTGAATGTAGGCATCTGGTTTATATGCTGCATTAGGGGCCTATTATGCTTTACTGGCTTTATATAATTTTCGCTTCTTTTATAAGTTTTCCCGTGATTTACAGACCTTGATAAATTGGGTGGTCTTGTTGTTGTGGTTCGAGAGCTTGTTAATCCTGAGCCTGAGATACGAACAACCTCTGCATGGATTCTTGGAAAAGCAAGCCAAAACAATGCACTCGTACAGAACCAGGTAATCATATACATTCTTCCATGCTCATTACATCTTTAAAACGGTGCCTTTTTTCCCATTTTCCATCTCGCAGCCCTAAATTTCTGTCCATCCTTCTTGAATTTAATTTACAATTATGAGCAAGTTTAAGTAAATTATTTCAAGTTGGTTAGCATATTATTTTCCATCTTAAATAAAAAGCTTTCATTCCCTTGCTCTGATTTTGATCTAATTGTTGATTTTTCTGCAAATGTTTAACTGTGGCAAGTTTGTATTCAAATTGTACTTTTTTACCATTTAGTCTCATTAGCATCCAACCAAGATGATATTTAAAAACATATAATATTTACGTGAAACTTAATAGTTAAAATTTCCGAGAATTTGGCACCTTTATGAAGAAGATCATTATGAAAATTTAGTAATTTCATATTTTAGATCCGCCCTGCCCCCCAACTTTCACCAACCAAATCTTCTTAGATTCGGGTGAAATTCTACAAATATTTCAAAAATAAACAATCTGCTACGGCTACTACCAAATTAATGTTTTAGTTATCAGTTGAGTTGCATAATTCCCAATAAATTAGTATGCTAAGTCTAAATGTATATGCATATGCATAATTAAATTTCATAATTAAATTTAGGGCTTATTACGAGTGCATTTTTTAATCGAAAATGTAGATAGACTTAGGTTTAATATTTTGGTAGAATCACTTTAAGAGAAGTTAACAATATAGATGACGTTGGTTTAGAGTTTTACCTTAACATGAACGAAGAAAAGTAAATAATTAATGTGAAACCCTAATCTCTTCTTCCTAAGCGACCATCTGAGCCATCATCTCTTCCTTTCAATTCCAAGCCATATAACCGAGAATCCAACTCCCTATCACCACCCATGCTCAACGCTTCCGCTGGGGCAAGGCACTAGTTGCTTGTAATTGGACATGCTTGGTCAATCATGCTATGTCCCATCTCTCTCTCTCTCTCCCAGCTGCTTGTTCGCCCCTCTCGACTCTTGCCCTTCTCTAATCCTGACTGGGATTGAAAGGTCTACTCACTGCCTTAATCAGAGATGATAAGAGCCTGAAGCGGATTCATTGAACATACCCAGTCCAACAATGCACTTTTTTTAATTTTTATTGTTTTGTTATGGGTGGTTATAAATTTAAGTTTGAACTTGAAATGAAATTAAAATAGTAAACATGTTGATTAGAATATTTCAAAAACATATAAAACATATGACTTGATCATCATAAACTGAAATGTCATTCTTGCATATCGAGCAAATGCTAGGATGGTATTGTTCTTATAATTAAAATCGGAGTTGGAGAGCTTGATTGCCTAAATTAATGCGAGAATTGATAAGATATCTGCAAACTTAGAGCAGAACAAGTTTGTTGTAAAAAATGTACCAATTTTTAACTAAATATGAGAGCAATTGTAAAAGTTGATGTAATATATTCAAACTGTACTTATTGTGATTATTTTGAGTTTGGTTTGTTATCAACCTTCCGTCTCAAGCTTACTGCCTACTTATTCATGGCTGTTGCGTCAACCATCTTCATGATCATGGTAGTCATTTGAACTTTTTGGGTTCCCGAGTTGTTGAGCTGCTAGGCTTCATTTTCTAGACATCACATATGTTCTTTCCACTAGTTATGAATTTTTGTGCTTAAGTTGTGAAGTTAGATAAAAAATATCACAATGCCTTAAAGTTTACCTGGAACTTCTTTAATTGCGTACATTAGAATTTTCCTATGCTAGATGCATATTTGGTACACAATCTTTTAAAGTTTATAATTTTTAAAGCATGTATGTCATTTTCGAACATGTATTCTTCTTTGATTTGTTGCAAAATGCTAATATTAGTTCTTTTCCACAACTTTGCCTCAGATCCTTGCTCTTGGAGTTATGACAAGGCTAATGAAAATGGTAAAATCCAGTTACACGGAAGAAGCTATAAAGGCATTATTTGCTATTTCATCCTTGATCAGGAATAATGAGAATGGCCAGGAGTTGTTCTTTTCAGAGAATGGATCGTTGATGTTACAGGTAAATAATATATAAGAAAAATGTAAATTTTTGGCTATCTGCTCTGTTGAATATAAGGAACACTTCCTTTGTACAGGACATAATGAGCAATATTAGCATTGACATTAGACTTCAGAAAAAGGCTGTTCTTCTTGTAGCAGATTTGGTGGATTACCAGCTAGAGAGAGCAGGTGGCGCAAAAGATGCTGTGGTTACTGATCGACTCTTTTTGAAGGCAGTTGTTGATTTAACATCATCAAATGACCTTGATCTTCAGGAGAAGGTACTTTTTGAATTTTTGCATGCGGTTTGTTATTATAAGTGAAATGTTTTAGAATAAGTTCCTATTTATTTTCACGACCAAGCCGGAGACCGCTTGAGGGATTAATTGATAGTGTATGCTCCTTTAATATGGAAAACTTATTTTCTAGATACACTACCTCTTCCAGCTATTTTTTCTCTTCCCTAAAACTTTTCTTGATGCACAACTTCTTGGTATAATTCTAATTCGACGTTAAAGGTGGACCAGCCGGCCCGCCTCCCTTGACTTGGCCTGCCCATAGGGTGGGCCCCACTTGTTCAATTTGAACAGGAGAAGGTGGCTAGGGCATGGGAGGGAAATTAGATTAGGAAAGCTTTTGTATTAAAGAGGATGAGAGGATTAGGGAGGATTAGGTTTTGATTGATTGGAATTAGGTTTTTTTGGCAACTTGGGCTCTAGACTCTCTTGTCTAGAGATTTGGGAGAGAAGATCCTCATCTCGAATTGAGGATCAATTGTATCTTGCTTTGAGTTTTGCTTTACTTTGTTTCCACTATCGCAATCTATCTTTTCTAGATTGATTTGTCCAGTTTTTCTTTTTTTTCTCGCTGTTTTGAACCAATTATTGTTAGGGTTGCTTGCGAACTCAAGTAAATCCGATAGGATTACTTCCAAACTCAAGTATTTCCTATCAAATTGGTATCCGGGCAAGTCTTGGGACCGGTAGAGGGTTGTTTTCAGCAAATTTTAGCAGTGGTTTTTGATCCGGATAAGAGGAAAGTTGTTTTTTTAGTCCCTCAAATTCAGATTTTGTGAATCTACAAACTCCGGATAGTGATGGCGGCCAAGAAGGTGGATGCTTTGGAAGAAAGGCTTGAAGGGGAGATGAATCAAATCAAGACAACGGTGGAGGAAAGGATTTTCTCCATGGAAGAACAAGTTGCCGATCTCCGGGACATGATGAAGAAAATGTTAAAAATCCAAAACCAAACGGAGGCTTCCGTGGAAAAAGGTGTGGAAGGGAAAAACACGAATTCTGAAATCCATAGGGAGGAAGATGACATGAAAATCATGGAAGGAGAAAGAAGAAGACCCTATCTGGAGCTTGTCCAGAGGGAAGAAAGAGGAGGTGGATATGGGGAACGCCATGAGGGATACTATGGCCGCCGAGGTGTTGATTTTGAAGAAAGAATGGGAGAATTTGAAGGGGTTTGGGCTATGGCAGGGCAAGGGAAGACCTGGAGACATGGGGGGGCCCTAGTGCTTGGGAGAGGGGAAGCTATGGAAGAATAAGGGGGAATGGTGGCGATCAGAAGGTTAGGAAGCTGAAGATGCCCATATTTGAAGGAGAAGATACGTATGGGTGGATTTATAAGGTGGAGTAATACTTCGCCATCAATGGGCTGACGGAGGAGGAGAAGCTGATAGCGGGAGGCTTGTGTTTGGAAGGAAAGGCTCTGTCATGGTATTAGTGGAGAGATCAGATGAGACCTATTAGGAACTAGAGGAAATTCAAGGACTGTATAATATAACTCTTCCAAACTGACCGGGGATGAGACTTCTATGAGCAGTTCTTTGCTCTAACGCTGGAGGGATCAGTAGCAGACTACTGGGAGCGATTTGAGGACCTAGCCAGCAGGGTGGAGCAATTATCAGATACAATATTGGAGGGGAATTTCATGAAGGGGTTGAAGACGGAGATCCGAGCAACAGTGAAGGTTCTGATGCCTCGTGACTTGGGGGATGTCATGAAGTTGGCCAAGCTGATTGAAAATCAGAGAAATCTGGAGAGGGGAGCCAAGAGTAGCAGCACAGGGGGCACTTACAGGATGACGATCACCAATCTAGCACCTAAAAGTCTTGCAACAGAAGGGATTCATGAGGCCACAAAGGAGAAGACAGTAGGAGGAGGAAGTGGGGGAAATTTCAAACAGCTGGCAGAAAAATAGATGCAGGAGAAGAGGGCTAAGGGGTTGTGCTTTAGGTGCGATGAAAAATATACGCAAGGGCATCGGTGCAAGGTCCAAACTCTTTAGGTTCTCATCATCTGTGATGACGAGGAAGCTGAGGAGGGAGGTTAGGAGGAGAAGCTGCTTTTGGATCTTGTTGAGGTTTCCCTGAACTCAATGGTAAGATTCACTACAAATCATACCATGAAGGTGAAGGGGGAGATAAAGGACAGGGAGGCGGTGGTGCTGATTGATAGTGGGGCTACTCACAATTTCATTTCCACTCTGGTCGTCGACCAAATGGGAGTGAGATTGGTGGATACCGGTTGTTACGGGGTGATGATGGGTACGGGGAAGGTGGAGAAAGGCCAGGGGATTTGCAGATGAGTGGTATTGACTATCCAGGGGATTAATATGAGGGAAGATTTTCTTCCACTGGAGATTGGGAGTACATATGTCATACTGGGGATGAAATGATTTTAGACTTTGAGAGACACCAAAGTCAATTGGGGAGCACTCCCAATGGAGTTGATGGAAGGAAGGTGGTGATTAAGGGAGATGCAGGGTTCTCGAAATCCATGGTTTCTCTCAAAACTATGGTGAAGAATATATAGTTTGCAGGCGGAGGATATTTGGTGGAGCTGCACCGTTTGGAGGGAGCTAGATTGGAAGGAGGGGATATACTCCTCTCCATATAGCCACTGATTCAGCAGTTCCAAGAGGTGTTTACGCCACCTCAGGGATTGCCACCGCAGAGGGAGTAGGAGCACGCCATCATTTTGAGGGAGGGTGTGTCACCCATCAGCGTACGGCCTTATCGCTACCCTCAGTTTCATAAAGATTAAATTGAAAAGTTGATTAGAGAGATGGTGGAGGAAAGAATCATCTGATCAAGCGTCAGTCATTTCTCTAGTCCAGTTTTATTGGTGAAGAAAAAAATATGGTAGCTAGCGATTTTGTGGACTACAGGGCGCTCAACAAGGAAATTGTACTTGATAAATTTCCTATCCCATTTATTGATGAGCTGTTAGATGAATTGAGTGGAACAATGATCTTCATCAAGATAAAGGGACATTATGAGTTCCTGGTGATGCCATTTAGCCACACCAATGCTCCGACCACTTTCCAGGCACTTATGAATAAGGTTTTCAAACTTTATCTCCGGCGATTTGTACTGGTATTCTTCGACGACATTCTATTTACAGTAGGACGGAAGAGGAGCATTGGGAGCATTTAAAAAGGGTGTTAGAGGTGCTGTAGGAGCACCAGCTGAGGGCCAACTTGAAAAAGTGCTGCTTCTTACAAGCCAATGTAGAGTACTTGGGCCATATTGTTTCAAAAGAAAGGGTGGCAACAGATCAGTCCAAAATTGAGGCAATGCTAAAGTGACCAGTGCCTAAATATCTGAAGGAGTTGAGGGGATTTCTAAGACTAACAGGTTACTACATAAGGTTTGTAAAAGGATACAACACCATAGCATGATCACTCACAGAGCAGTTGAAGAAGGACAGTTTCCTATGGGGGGAGGCGGCTACATTAGCATTTGAGAGCTTGAAGAAGGCTATAACTATGGTAACAATCATAGCTTTGCTAGATTTCACTCAGATCTTCATAGTGGAAACAGATGCGTCCGGATACGAGTTGGGTGTAGTGCTTATGCAGAATCGTAGGCCCATTCCTATTTCAACCAGGTGTTGACTGTTAGAGCCAGCCTGAAGTCAGTCTATGAGAGAGAGAGTTAATGACCATCTTTTTGGCCATCCAGAAGTGGCGACCCTACCTACTTGGGAGTCATTTCATTGTCAGGACAGATCAGCGGAGCTTGAAATACCTGCTGGAATAATGGATGGTGACAGAGGAGCATTAGAGGTGGCTGTCCAAGTTGCTACTGTATGATTTTGAGATTCGGTATAGGTCAGAAGTGGAGAATAAGGTGACAGATGCCTTGTCTAGATGTATGAGAGAGTTGTAGACAGTGACACTATCTGTTCCTTTGATGCTTAATTAGGAGGCTATCAGAGAAGAAAGTGCTAGGTATGAGGATTTGGAAAAGATCATAGCAGATTTATTGAAGAAAGAGGGTAGCCACCTAGGGTGCTCATTGGAGGGGACAGACTGCTATATTATGGGAGGTTTGTGATGCCTCAGACCTCGATTCACATCCCAAAATTACTCCAGGAGTTTCATGGAAGTGCTGTTGGGGGCCATTCAGGCATGCAGAAGACATACATGAGGCTAGCTTCGAAGCTGTATTGGAAGGGGATGCATAAAGATGTAGAGGACATGGTAGCCAGATGTGAGATCGGTCAAAGGAATAAATACCTGGCTATGTCACCAGGAGGACTACTACATCCATTGGCTCTATCTAGATGAGTATGGGAGGCGATATCTATGGACTTCATAGATGGGTTTCCCCATTCAGAAGATTTCACGATGATTTTAGTGGTGGTGAACAGGTTGAGCAAGTATGCACATTTCATTCCCCTACCCCTACACAGCAGTGACAGTGGCTTCAGCTTTCATAAGAGAGATGATTAGATTGCATGGAGTACTAAAGGCAATAGTATCAGATAGAGATAAGATGTTCCTCAGCTACTTTTGGAGGGAGTTGTTCATGTTACAGGGAACAATTTTGAAGAAGAGCACAGATTACCACCCATAGACGGATGACCAAACAGAAGTAGTCAACAGGAGCTTGGAGACTTACTTGAGATACTTTGTGTCGGAGACACCCAAGTTATGGGCTAAGTGGCTATCATGGGTTGAGTACTGATACAATACTTTTTTTCATTATGCTTCTCAGATGACCCCATTCAAGGTGTTGTATGAAAGGGATCCTCCCCACTTGGTGCACTTTGAGAGTAGCAGTAGTTCGATTTCTTCAGTAGAGAAGTATTTGGAGGAGAGTGATAGAGTGCTAGAAGAGTTGAAGAGACATCTGCTAAGGGCTCAACAGATTATGAAGAAACAAACTGATGGGCATAGGAAGGACATTCAGTTTGAAGTGGGAGAGAGGGTGTTCTTGAAACTCTGACCATATAGACAGAAGACAATCGCCAACAGGAGGAATGAGAAGCTTGCTCCAAGGTACTTTGGGCCTTATGAAGTGCTGGAGAAGATCGGAGCAGTAGCATATCGGCTAAAACTACCACCAACAGCGACTATACATCCAGTTTTTCATGTATTGTAGTTGAGAAAAGCCATTTGATGACTATACAACCAACCCCGACTTACCGGTGACACTTACTGAGTATTTAGATGTGGTTCTGTAACCCTTAGAGTTGATGGGGGTTCACCAGAAAGAAGATGAAACTAAGAAAGTGCTGATCAAGTGGAAGAACATTCCTGACTACGAGGCCACATGGGAGCCATACGAGAGGGTGA